TTGATGATCAATGGTAGAAACACAGAGTTAGAACAATATCCAAAAAATTGAAGCACAATAATGAATCAATTAGATCAAGAAACCTCAATGTGATGTGTGTGCATGTGTGATTTAAGCTCAGGCAATACATAGATATTTGATTCAAGTAAATATGCTTCCAAAATTACAAATCAGTCACAGAGGTCCAATTACAGGAATTCACAAATAAGTAATCAGTCAATCATATATTAATCACAAAAGAACACCAAACCTAATTCAAAGTGAGGTTTGGAACAATCTTACCAATTACTGTTGAAAAACAGTAAATATACCCTAAAGCCTTCAATCGAGCAAGCCAGCCAGAGCTACCAATCACCCAATCAGTCACAAACATACACAACAAGAAATCAGAGAAATCAGAATCGAGTTTAAAAAAAAGATGCCTAAAGTGACATTGTCTGTTTAGATCTTTAAAGGTCTATACAGATATATCACTCTAAAGGAAACGACCCAAAAAGCAGATTAAAGGAAGAATACAACCCAACCCTAGGTCATCTAGCTCTGATACCAATTTTGTTGGGAAATTACAATTATAATCTTAAAAACCACAATACAGCCAGACATCTACAAAGCATAATAAAACCATAGAAACTGAAAATAGTAAATAACAGAGTCATTCTTCCCTTCTAGCGAAGCTAAACGTTGATACCCAGTTCACTTATCCATGGCCGAAAATGGTAGGCTCAGGAACAGCCCCTCCATGTTTGCAAATCTCCTTCTAGAGAGAGATTTATAACCGGCCAGAAACACTCAGAACTCAACTTAGGTCATCGATCTAAGGATCTACCAAAACAGTCAAGTTCAAGCCCTGACACTGACCTAACCCTTGTGAGAAACCAACACCATTCAGCTACTATTTCAAGCCTGAATATTACACAAGGTTCTCTCAACAACATGCTAAAGAAGACAGTGAACACGGGATGAAAACCACGGACTCAGCAGAGAGAGAGACAAACCAACTGTGAGAAAAAAAAAAAAAAAGAGAAGTCTCCAGAAGGAAGTAAAAAATTGAACTCAAAAGTCGAAACCCAAGAGAAAATATCTCACAAGAATAAACCCCAACCGTCGATCTCATCCAAGGGTCACAATCAATTCTAAACTAACACAATCCAGGTGCCTACCAAGTTACCAATAAGTGGGTGACATTTAAGCAGCTAAGTAAAGAATAATCAACCATACAAATGTCATAACTAGCACTAATCCAATAGTGTTAGAGAACTACTAAAGCCCACAACTCCATTAGGTTTCGACGTGACAATTTGAATTGTTTATCTTATTACCTTATCTTGAAAAAACAAGGTAGAGATGAGATGAGAATTTATGAGTGTTTTTCACTCATAGTTTTAATGACGGTTAAACTTGTTATTTTGTTTGTCTTTGAGGAAAAAAAAACGTTTTGATGTGCTTATTAATGTTGCTTTAAAGGTTATGACGAATTTTGGAGCTTGAAAAGGAGCAAAGCAACGTGACAATGTGAATCAAAGAGATTAAGGACGTGGAAGAGTGAAAAGGAGCTAAGTACAGGGCTTGAGGAGGCCAATAAGAGACGAAAGAAATAGACCAAGGAGAAAAAGACAAAGCAGGGCAAATTTAGAAGATAAGAGTAAAAGTGGTGCCTAGACGCCACCATCTGACGACCAAGCATCAACTCACGGGTGAAAACCAATAGAAGTGGTGTCGAGGCACCTACCAATAGCTAGAAGAAGTAGATTATTTACCGAAAGATTGCGCCCGACACCATCCACATAAATTTCGCAGGGTCGTGGTGCCTAGGCGACGCCTGGCGGGAAATTAGGTTTCGATTTATTGGCCCGTTAAAAGCACACTATGACTCCAATTTCAAGACAACCATTAGAGAGGCATAAAAACAACTTAGAAGGGATTTCCAAAAGGAGAATTAAAGAGGGCAAGAAGCAAGAAAGCAAGAGCAACAACGCGGAGAATTTTGAATCTCTACGAAAAAAAAATCTCTTTTCCTTTTTATGATGTTCAAATATGAATTTAATAGTTTCTATATCTTCCGTCATAAACTAAAGTATTCATCTCGGGTTTGATGTAACTGAGACTTAAGATCATGTTTTGATTTTAAATAGTTATTTCTTTGGGATTTTTCAATTTGTTTATTTGTGTTACTTGAGTTGAATACTTTCAATTAACTGGGCATTAGTTCATTGATTTGATTGATTAAGTTTTGTTACTAGAGAGAGAACATTAGTCGTGATCTTAATATAACACAACTTAGAAAATTATAGGTTTTAAGAGAGAGTATAATTTTTGAACCTGTTCCACATAAGAACCAAAAACTTCATAATTTTTAGATGTTTAATTCAAAATAAAGATATAGAAATTGAATCCTATGAAGAGTTTTTACTCAGACACTCAAGAGAGGAAGTAAAATTACATTACAATCTCACTTATAAACTTGGAGAAACTAATTGGGGATAACTATATAAATGAGAAACATAGTTGATAGCCAGAATAAATAACCACCCTAAGCTTTTTCATATTGATTAATTCTTAAAACTTTCATAAAATCGTAGAAATCGTCACAACATTCATCTTAGATTTAGTTTACTAAATTTCGATTATAGTACGTAGTATAAAATTGATATTCAATCCCTGTGAATTCGGCATTCTAATTTAATCGTTACATTACAAAACTTGACACTATACACTTGCATTATAATTGCGGTCTAGAAAACGCGTAACAAGAATAGTATCAATCTTCAAAGTTATATTATTCTTGCAAAGAATAGGGCTTTCAAATGAAGGATGATGATTTGTCAAGAAATACTACAATTTTCAAGCAGAATAATGCAGATTCTAAAGTTTAAGAGAGAATATTTCAGTTCAAAATCCTAATCTCGAAGAAAAAAAGAGGCTAAAAGTGATAAAACTCTCTCACTTTTTTGAATATGTAAATAACACATAATTTTTCCCTCGTAAACTTGTAGTTCATATTAGCGCTAAACATTTTGTTAATTAAAATGCAATTTTCTTCCACAAATTGAAAAAGAGAATTTTCAAAATTTGAAGATGGACATAACAGTATATATCCTTAGTGTTTAGAATGCGTTTTGAATGGACAATCTTTGATATCTTGTTTTTCTAGCTTCAGTGTCTTGTAGAGCCACCGAGTTCTTGAATTTTTCTTCATCTCTAACTGCCATAGCATCAAGATTAAAAAATTCAAATATCTCTGTACGTATGAAACATCAAATCCATCACAGGTAAGTGTGCCCCAATTGAATACAACAAGAAGTTAACCCAAGTCAAAATCAATAATTAATTTTATCTAAATATTTCATGGAATCACAACTTTTCAACCACACATTTCATCAATTTCTATCAAAATCTATTAAAAAATTGATTTTAATTCCTACCAAATAAGGGCTATGAATTTGAAATCGATTTCATGAACCCTTTTTGCCACTCATTCTAGATCAACAAACAAAAAGATTTAAAGCAACTACATCCTCAGCGACTACCACATGCTATTTTAGTTTTATTTGAACTTGGTATTCTAATGAAACTGGCCAGACAACTTACCTTTTTGTTGATAGGAACTTCAATTAAAAAGACGAAACTATATTTTTCATATAATGGTTTGAACTATCATTCAGGATATAATTTTCAATTGCACTAACAAAAACAAAGCATTATCATCAGATAGCACTGTTCAATAAGCAAGAATAGTCACCACCCTATTGTGTTTTCAGAAGATGGTTTTGAATTATAATACACATAGCCAGCCACATTTCAAAGCCTTGTGACCACTGTTTCTTTGGCTCTTTTGTCCCAAGCTCTAGCTCTTTCACATGAGGGGGTTGTATAAAGGATGTCTAGCCATCGAAGCCACCAGATTGAACACCAGGAAAAGAGACGAAAATATCACCACCCCATTGAAGACTAGAGAAAGTACAAAAAGGCCATTTCTGTCTTAAGGCCCTTCTCACGGAACCATACGGTGAATTTTTTGCTCATAATATGGACTTTCAATTATTTGGTTTTGGGGCTTTACTCTAACCAAGGACTCTTCTTTGAGAGAAACAGACGGAATCCTTGCTCTTGGCTTATATTCACATAGGCCACTCATAAACATAAGACGTTCAACTCCCTAAAACACGTGTAATTGAGAGAGAGATAATTTTAGAGAATTTCATAAAGTCAATATCTCCAACCTTTTCTCCTTCCCTAGAAGAAAAAAAGGAATAGCCTTATTAGTCAACTTAAAAGTTAGCAAAGTCACTTCAGGGCGATAGAGACCCAATCCCTTTGAACCGCATACGATCTCAATGAAGACTAGGAAAAGGAAGGGAACAATAGCACCGCTCCACCGCTTTTGCAACTTTGTATTTCAATCAGAACATGATTATACACTTAACTGTTTTGGAGCAAATCTATATGCATAATTTTCAAGACAAAACACTAATAAGATACTCACTGAATGCACACGCACCAGAGATGAAAATAAAGCCAAAGTACTCTTCCTAGAAATCATAGGAACATCAAATGTGCAAGGATATAGCTGAAGCATTGGTTGGTGGAACAAAGTGAACCAGGAATTCGGAATATGAACCAACAAATGATGTATTTGGATTTATGAAACTATACTTTTCTGGCATTATAACTACATACATAGTAGAGATTCTTTAAAATTTATTTTCCCCCAAACTTATTTTTAATCAAACATTATCTGAAATTTTTCCTACTTCTTTAAAAACAATCACTTTTCACACAATCTATTCTCACAAAAAACTACATCAAACAGGCTCATAGTCTACTTTTGCCACTTGAATATGAAGAACCAATAATTGCATATCATCATCCACCACAAATCACATTTCTACTGCCTCTGCTTCAAAACCAATTTTCATTTCAGTTGATAAATAAGCTAATCCATTATATCAATACATCAAATCACAAATAATTTGCACATACCAATCAATAATTAGGATTCATCAAGGCTTAGAATTGGTGTTGTAAAGCTTGTTGTATTCATCGAGCTCCTCGTAATAGACGTCCCACACACATCTTATGCATCCACTGCCGCAACAGTCCCCCGGCAACGGCTTCTCCGGAGGCGGCGGCGGCGGCGGCGAAATATTCGATTTTGACTTTGAGTTTTCTAATCCCTTCTCCACCTTGTCTTTGCTTTCAACAGTGGGCTCTTGAGTATCCTTCTTATCGGCCATCGTATTGCTGTTAATTAAGGAGAAATTGTGGGTAACACAAAAGGGCTTTTGGCGATTGAATCTGAATTGATATGGAGCTGTGTTGAATCGTCGGAGGGTCAGATCTCTTATGGGCATGACAATATTGGGTTGGTTTAGGGCATTGTGGCGGCGACGGCGATTGGTATGTAATGGAAGAGAGGGGGAAGGTACGCAACGTGTTGTTTCCATGTAACCAAACGGTTGTCGGCTGTGGTAGAAAATGGGAGAATTGCAATTGGGGTCTCAAGTCTTTCAAATTGTTGCGTACTGTAACTAAACCTTTCATTTTAACATCCAGAGTCCCTAACATTTCATTTCGATTGCAACGGGAGGATTCCCTCTATTTGATCGTTAGTCAACCCATGGCGCAAAGTAGTTGGCTCAACATTCAGCTACCCGAATTGGAGTCCGCATCATCAATCAAGCTTCAAAATAAGAAAATCCGATTGAAGCACTTCATAGAATAGATGATGTGCTTCCTAAAATTTTCTTAGTTGCTATTTCAGGACCGTTGCCTATAAGGGAGGTTGTTGTCGTTACTGCCTCAACGATCATAGTTGGAGGTTATCGATGCCCTTCGATGGTGCACCTTGAAGCTACAACTTAAACAAGTGGGTCTTTGTGTTGAGAAGAGCAAATTTTTTTAGATTTTTGGAAATTTGTTGAGAAATTAGTAGAAGGATTCGGATTTCACCAAATAAAATTTCTACAGAATTTCTTATTGTATGACTGAATTTTCATTTATTTATTTTTGTGTCCTTTGTGCTTGCAAAAGACAGAGCATGCGAGAAGGAAATAGGGTGATATTCCAATTTTGCTCTTGATTGTTCTTAGTCTCTACCATATGCTTTCGTGCTCCAATCTAAGGGTGTGTTTGATCCACATTATTTTGGAAGAATGTATTCTGAAATAGTAGATTAATGGAGAATTTGTGGTTGAAAAAGAAGAAAAAGTTATTAATGTGATGAAAAATATTATTTTATTGAAAAATGTGTGGTTGAAAATGAATAGAAGAATGAAAATGAAAATTTTATTGTGTACCAAACATGGGCTAAATATCATAGACTTCATGGAGAAATTGTTCTTCAGGTTGCTCTATTATCTTTTTGCTCCATTTTATGTTAATTTGGTAGAGCTAATAATTTTTGTTAAATGCTCCAATGCAAAAAATTCATAATAGCCTCCAACATTCTTCCAATTTGATGGCAGATTCTTTTTGTTCATCCTTTTCGAGTAGCCATTTTTCTTCTTTTTAGTGGCTGATCTCTTTGATATTTTAGTCAAAGGAATTGTTCGAAAAAATTATCATTTTCGGTAGCCATTTGGACGTGGTGATCACATTGTTAATTTATCGATTTTTCACAAGCGACACCAACTTGTTGACCCCAATTTTATGCATGAACGTGTGGTCAATAGAATCTTAACCACCTCCAATCCACGAGGCATCACTTGCGCACTAAACCACCCCGTTAGGGAGCAAATGTTATCGATCGAGAAAAAGATCCGACAATCATTTGTACTTCGGTAGTCAAATCAATGACGAGACGAGAGATAGAGTGAGTCAGTGCAAGAGACGAAAGTGGGGGATTTGATTATGGTTAATATAATCTCACCTTAAGTGTGATTGGAAGCACATATGTATAGTGCAATAAAAATAGGCTAGTAGGGTTAATGAATTGAGCATAAGCTCAAGACAAGGTTGCTTGGCCCAATGTAATTGACATAATCAATTGTCGAGTCGATCAATGTGGACAGGGGCGGAGCCATGTATGGCCCAGGGTGAGCACAGGCCCACCCTGAACTTCTGGGCTCAAAATTTTTTTGGGCTCAATTTTTTTTTTTTGTTATAGGCTAAGTCCGACTATCCCAACCCAAGACAAAAAGCCCACAACTTTGAGCCCAATTCCAAAAATTTAAACTTCGTCCACAAATCACAACTCCAGTCTCCATCCTCTGCTCGACTGCCCCTGTGCTCCGCCTCCACTGTTCGCACTTTACAGCTGGCATCTTCGCGACTTCGCCTCAACAATCGCCGTTCAGAACTTCCACCCCATCTTCGCATCCTTCGCCTCGCAGGCTCCCACTCACAATCGCATGCAGTACTGTAGAAGGTAGAACATTTTACTAATTTTCTTTTATTTTCTTTTGTTTTTTCTCCCATGAGTTTTTTTTTTTTTTTTGAAAAATGAAATCTTTACTTTATGCGATTTGGATTTTTCTCCAGCCTCCGCCTCTGTAGTGACTTCTCTCCTACCCAGATCCGCGAATCAGATACTTTCTTAATTTCTTTAGCAATTGGATCATTGGTGATAGTAGCTTGAGATAATATTGAATTTGTTCTTTGATAAAATTGCACGTGGTCCTAATTTTCAGCTCTACGTTCGGTTCAGTTGAGAAGTTTTTGTTCTTTTTTTTAATACTACATTTTGCGTATTGTTGTGTGCTGTGTGCAGTAGAGATTCACTGTTGGCTGTTATGGAATTGAAATTAGGTATTGTTGAAATTTGGGTATTGGTATTGCTGAGTGCTGAGTAGATATGGCTGAATTGTTGAGTTGAAATTGGTGAAGTTGGGGTATTGTTGAGTTGAAATTGGTGAAGTTTGGGTATTGTGGAGTTGAAATTGGTGAGGTATATACGACATAACATAAGTATATACATTTGGGGACAATATGTGTACATTATTGATTTGAACAGGCCTGAAACAAGAAATTGAGAAAATTTGAAAAAAGGGGTAGAAGAAGGAAGGATAAAGATTGCTATGACAAACAAATTGGCTCCGACGAGCTCTATCGTTTGAGGATATTAGTGTTGATGACTCGGTGGTGTAGGGTGTCGGGGACGAAATTGAACTGGGAATGGAGATTTGTGTTGATGTTTCAGGGTTGGAGAAGTTGCTCGGGATTGTTTGTGGGAGGTGCTAAGGAGGCTACCACCAACAGGATTGTTGTTGGCAGCGAGGGTTTGTAAAGGGTGGAGAGACATTACTAGAAAGTTTTGGCGGCAGCTCAAGAGATCGGCTTAGGGTTCCATCCAATACTCAGATTGGGTTTTTTGGATCCATGTTGCAAAAGTATCCTGGAAGTGTAAGACTATCTCTTAGTTCGGGATCGACTAAATTGTGCCCACCCTGAACCAATTTCCTGGCTCCGCCCCTGAATGTGGAACCCCTCCGTCATGCACATGCCATGTAATTTATAGATATAACAAGCATTTTTACAATCATCCTGTTATAAAAAAAATAAAAAAAATTGTTATGGATTTAATATCTAAAAACTTCAATTGAGCTGAACTAGTTAACACGAAGTCTAAAATCCTAAAAATCTCTCAAAGTTTGTGAAAAATTCCTAAAGATAATGTTTTTCTTTTCTTCTTTCCCTCTACTAGAGATGATAATCATATAATTTCATGTTATATGATAAGACCAATAAAGTAGATCACATTGTACATTTAATTGATTTTATCATTTATAGGTCCACATCGCATGCCAATTATCACTAACGTAGATAAATATCATTATTCTTTCATAAAATCGCTTTTTAGAACCTCAAGTTAATAAAATTAAAATTAGTCCCCAAACTTGCCAAATTTGGAATAATGCCTCTAGTCCTCAGCTATTAACTTATAATCATCCTCAAACAATAGCTCAAGCTTGAAAAATTATAATCCTTCAACTTTTTCTAAATTACAATTCAGTCTAAATTACTTTCTGAACCTCAAATAATTTACACAGACACGAAATACCATTTGAGTCCATTAAATATTTGGCCAAAATCTTATTTCTAAATTTTTTTACCTTGGTCCCTATGGAATTGAAAGAATCTCAATTTGACCATAAAATCCTCAAACTTCGTCCTTAAGTCACAGAGAAAATTTGTGGTATTACTATTACTATTACAATTACCATAATACATGCCAAAAGATGACAATAAATAGGGATAATTGCAGCTAAGGCCAAACCTTTCAAATAGTGGCGAACTTTCCCCTAACATTTCAATAGTTGCAACCGCCACCTCAAACCTTTCAAATCGTAACAGCTGAGGCCATATGGACAGTTTTCATCCAATCTATCGTTAGTTAACCAAAAAAATTAATTTTAACCACATTTTAATCAATTTTAAAAGGGCAAAACAGTAATTTAATATTTTCCCCATAAAATAATTAAAAACTTAAATCGAAAATAAAAAAATAAAATAAAAATGGAAAAATTATCTTCTTCGTCAACCTCCAACCCCCAAAACCCAAAACTAGAAATTTGCCACCGACCACCATCATCGCCATATGTTTCCTTAGCTTCGGTTAGCTTAGATTGTTCTCTAGGAACCAATTTCAGACCAGGATCAGATTCGGATAACCTGCCCAAGAAAGATTTATCACTCAACAAGTACCTAGTAGAACTCGCAAGGTTGATAAAATCTGTAGGCCTAGTGCAACTCCTGCTCTTCCTTATATTGATAGAATTATTCTTATTATCGTCCTCATTTGTATCGAAATTGTTGTTTTTTATTTTCTGATCATTTGGCTTGTCTTTTCTTCCTCAGAATTCTCCTCTAAAGAGTTCTGCCTGTTATTTTTCTGCTTCTTTTTTTTTTTTTTGCGCGGCTTGGGACTAATAAGCGGTTGCTAAGATGGTGGTCGGTGGTAAATTTCTAGTTTTTGGTTGAGGGGGTTGGGGTGGGGTGGGTGTAGGTTAGGGGTTGATGAAGAAGATAGTTTTTTCTTTTTTATTTTATTTATTTTTTTGGTTTTTTATTTAAGTTTTTAATTATTTTATGGGAAAAATATTAAATTACTATTTTGCCCTTTTAAAATTGATTAAAATGTGGTCAATATTATTTTTGGGTCAACTAACTACAGCTTGGATGAAAACCGTCCATTGGGGCCTCAACTGTTATGATTTGAAATGTTTGGGGTGACGGCTTCAACGATTGGAAGGTTAGGGGAAAGTCTGCCACTATTTGAAAGGTTTGGGGTCTCCGTTGTAATTATCCCTTAAAAAATTTCAAGCCAAAGGTAAATTTCACCTTTTGTACTTTAGTCCATTGGATACTGAAAGTTTCAATGCCCAACAATTTTATAACTTCACAAATAAAGTCATATATCGTACTATTTGATTCGAAGGTGCTATAGGGAGGGACCATTATGCTAATAACATAAATCAACAAGATATTCATACAATAAATCAAATAC